ACGCTTCCAATTCTTTAACAAGTGGTGTTGTGGGATTTTCTGGAACTCCTACGAACAATTTCTTATTCTTAATCTCTTCAATAAGATCATCATTCAACATTTGTTCATATTCTGATGCTTCATCGTGTTCATTTAATTCTTCTTGATCAATAATTCTCTCGGCTCTCAGCATTTCATCTAACAGAATTTCGTCAAATTCAGCTTCATCTTCATCGTTGTCAAATCCACCATTTATTGTTTTTAGTATTTGTTGTGTTGATTGACACTCCGAATCAAACACTGGTGTTTCATATTGATTGACGTTGTTTTCACTCAAGTGTTTATCATCATATATTTTAAACAAAGATAGATTTCTTTGTTTAACAAAAGGACCTTTAGCAAATGAAATACACATATCATTTTTAGTGTACATAATTGATGGGTCGCTTGGATGTGATATTTTTGATATTTTGGAGTTTGTGTCGGCTGTTATAAAAGCTTTGTAATTTTCCATTTCTTGTTGACTGGGGTTTCGGTGTTGTTGGTGATGTTCTTTAAAGTAAGAACTGTGGTCTTTTTCGCCACTTTTAAGTATCCAACAATGATGTTGTAAACAGAATGAAAAGTCGACTCCTTTGTAAAATACTCGGATATATGAATTTGAAAATGCTACTTCATTTTCAACAAAGATTAAGTGTTTACTGTCAAATGTCATATTTGAATGTTTAAGTTTGTTTGTAATTTTCATTAAATATGTTTATATTTGAAAAATAACCTCACAAAAAATCAATGATGTATGTTAATCGTTAACAACGTTTGAACCACAATGAAATTGACAGAATAACTTCTTGAGTTTTAAACTATGTGTTAATATAACACAATTATTAACATCTGAAATTGTTGTTTAAAAACTATAATTGTTCAAATTATTATATGGCTTAAAATAAACAATCATTTTATTAAATTAATGTTAAATAATTAACAACAATTGTTATTTTAAAAGTTTAACAATAATAATTCACAAATAAATAAAAAATACTATTATAAACAAAATAGGAATTTTAAATCTATTGTCCTGTTTATTTGATGGTTTATTCTATTAAAATAATAAATTTTATTTTCATTTTATTGAAAACAAAGAAACATTTTTACTATTATTTGGTTGTCCATTTCAATTTAAAATATTTTCAATGTTTTTTAAATTTGTGTTTAAATAGCTTTTTTAATTTATTTATAATTTTTAATTTATTAATATAATTTGTTTTCATGTTTGTTTTTATATTCATTATAACTTCAAATTTCAAAATCAATGGTTAGTTTTTAATCGAAAATATTTAGTTGTTATGAACTATCAATGATTAAAAGTTGTAGTCATTCTCTTAACATTGTCCTTTCTCCAAATGTTATCCTTTGGTTTTTAAATGTTAAAAACTGAATATATCATAAGAATTATCGTA